CTCACCTAAGGAGTCTCGGGCACGGGATCATGGGCAGCCAGAGACCGTTGTTTCATGCAGGGCCCCTGGGGCGTTTCTGGGACTGGGCGCCCACAGCTCGTATGGCCCCGTCACACACAGGCCCATGTAGCTGCTCCCCGCTCTTCCCTCTTAGAGAGGGGGAGGTCAAATCGAATGCTAGCTAGTTCCTTGGGGAAGCGAGGCAGCCCGACCAGAGAGCTGAGTAATTCATGGCCAGTGTAGGAAAATCTTCCATTCCCTCAGGGAACCTGAAGTTATTTGAGAATTTAAAAAAATATGGGGTTGGAAAAAGAAGGAATACTGAGGCAAATAAAAGCTGGCGGGCTTTCTGGGGCATCTTGAAGTGACCATGAGTAAGTTTAGAGGAATGTGATTTCAGATCTTCAACCTGAAAGCTGGTTCAAGAGAGAGATGCTGAAAAGACAGGAATCAGGTTGCTTTACAGGGACCCAGAAAGCCAGAAGCTACGACAATCAGGATGTCTAAGACCTGAGCAGTGAGAAGTTGGCATGACCTGGTTTAGGAGGGGCTGGATGTGGTATGGACAGAAGGCTCCAGCTACTCCTCAGAGGTATCTTCCTCCTAAGAAGTGCCCCCTAAACTCCCCTCCCCACTGGCTTTCTCATCCTGGAAGTTGAGAGGACTGCCAGACATCACAATTTATGTCCTTTACAGAGACAGACATACAGAGGGTAGAAGTGCCCTGCTGAGAAACCCAGCCTGGCTTTGGTCAGACCACACTGGGGAGTCCCCACAGCCAGCCACCTCCAGCCTTCTTGGCAGTCAGTGGAATAGCTAGTTCTGGAAAAGCCCAAACGACCAAATGCAGACAACTGGCTAATGATGCCTATGCTTGGGGACATCTCTTTCTGCTTACAAAGAACCTGGGAGCTGGAAGATCCTGTCTCCAGAGATTCAGCTGGTGCTTCACAGCTTCTGCCCCCTTCCCCTGGCCCAGAGATCAGCCAGTTAGTTGGAGGGAACTACTTTCTGGAAGAACGGTCCGGGTGCTGAGCCTGGTGGTAAGTTCATTAAAGCAGGTGAACCCAGCACTCTGCCCATTGCTTGCAACTTCTTCCCCAGAAAAGAATCCAGCCAACTATTCGAAGGACTGGGCTCGCCGCCCTCCGGCACTGCCTCTTCGGGCCTCCAAAGCTCCACCAGGGCCTCCGTGAAGAAAGAGACTTGGTCCTGACCATTGCCCAGTGTGAGTACACAGCTGCTGCCACAAAGCAGGCATTGCGTATGTGGTCAAGCAGAGAGCACTGTTTGACCCCCCAGTTCCTGAGGCTAAGCCAGGGGTCTTGCATGTGCCATGTTGTGGGGGAGAGTGGGAGCTGAGGGGAGATCAGGGTGTCTTGAGCACAGTCCAGATCTATGTTGGCTGAACTGTTGTTTGAGAAAGACTCAGTCCTCCCCTGAGGGGCAATCCGACAGAGAGTGGGGGTGTGTTTTGGGACAGGTGGCCTGGATAGCCACGACCCAGTGCATGGCAGAGTCCTCCAGACCATCTACAAGAAGCTGACCGGCTCCAAGTTTGACTGTGCCCTCCACGGAGACCACTGGGAAGATCTGGGCTTTCAGGGTAAGAGAGAGGAATGGTTCATCTTCTTTTATTTGACCCCTGACTCCAGTACTAGAGTGAGAGCCCAGAGAGTCCTCTTCCTGTCATGCCAGCGCCATAAGATGGGATACCGGGGGAAAGCATGCCAGGAAGAGGGTACAGCGAATGCAAAGGCCCTGAGGTGGAGCATGCTTGCTCTGTTTGGGAAATAACGAGGAGTGTGACTAAAGTGGAAAGAGTGATGGGAGAAAAGTTCACTTGTGTCCTTGCAGGCCATTGTAAAACATTTACTCTAAGTGAGATGAAAAGCATTGTAGTGATATGATTTGGAATCTAGTTTTTTCATTTTCCTCTTTTAATATTGATGAAAATTTTGTTTTATATTATTTTATTTTTTGAGTGAAACAAAATAATTTCACCTGTTTTTGGAGAGTGATACTGTTCTTTCAAAATCATGTCCAATTAAATTAGTACAGAATGGGAAAATATCTTAATTTAAAAAGGAACCTTTATGTACCCATAATTAATTGGTAGTCCGTTGGTATTGACAACACGTTTAAGTCATTTTACTATCTATAATATAGAGTGTCTATTTTGTCTATAATTGTCATAAACATTTCCTCTGTATACATTGAGAATCACATCACTGTTATGATTTTTGTTTCAACAATCAATTTAAAAAACTCCAGAGGAGAGTTTTTTAAAAACTATATATTTACCCATATATTTACTCTTTCCATTGTTCTTTCTTCCTCTCTGATATTCCAAGATTAGATTCCTTCTCTTATCATTTCCTTTCTGTTTCAAGAACTTCCTTTAGCCATTTTCTAAGGTAGGTCTGCTGGTGATAAATTCTCTTTATTTTCCTTCATCTGAGAATGTCTTGATTTCCCTTTCACTCCTGAAGGATAATCTCTCTGAATGTAGAACTCCAGGTTGACAGTTCTTTCCTTTCAGCACTTGAAGAATGTGCTGCTTCCTTCTGGCCTCCGTGGTTTCTGATGAGAAATCTGCTGTCATTTGAATTATTCCTCCCTGATAAAAGGAGTTGTTTCTCTCTCTCTGCTTTTAAGATCTTTTGTTGTTGTTGTCTTTATTGCAGGAGTTTGACTATGATGTGTCTTAGTATGGATTTCTTTGGGCTTATCCTGTATGGAGTTTGCACAGCTTCTTGAATCTGTAGGTTTACGTTTTTTGCCAAATTTGGTAAATTTTCAGCCATTATTACTTTGAGTACATTTTTCAGCCCCACACCTTCTCCTCTCTTGTGGCATTCTGACGACACAAATGCTAGCTCTTTTGTTATTGTTCCGCAGATCCCAGAGGCTCTGTTCATTTTTTTGATCTCTGTTATAGTTCATAGATCTCCAAGGCTCTGTTTATTTTGTTTTGTTTTTTCTTTCTGTTGTTCAACAGACTGGATAATTTCTATTTTTCCATCTTTAAGTTCACTGATTCTTTCCTCTCTTATCTCTATTCTTTTTTTTTTATATAATTTTATTTATTTATTTGTCCCCCAAAGCCCCAGTAGACAGTTGCATGTCATAGTTGCACATCCTTCTAGTTGCTGCATGTGGGACGTGGCCTCAGCATGGCCAGAGAAGCGGTGCATTGGCGCGCGCCTGGGATCTGAATCCGGGCCGCCAGCATCGGAGTGCGCGCACTTAACTGCTAAGCCATGGGGCCGGCCCTCTTATCTCTATTCTGCTGTTGAGCCCATCCAGCAAGTTTTTAATTTTAGTTATTATATTTTTCAGTTCTAAATTTTCTATTTAGTTCTTCTTTCTATCTGATATTTCTTTACTGACACTTTCTATTTTTTCATTTTTTTCAAAGCATGTTTGTAATTGCTTATCAAAGGCATTTTTATGATAGCTGCTATAGTAGTTTTCTATTGTTGGTGCAACGAGTTACCACAAATTTAGTGGCTTAAAACAACAAACAGCACAAATTTATTATCTTCTAGTTCTGTGGTTCAGAAGTCTGTCAGGTCTTCTATCTGGGGTAGGATCAAGGTGTCACAGGGTTGCGTTCCTTTTTGGAGGCTCTAGGAGAGAATCCATTTCCTTGCCTTTTCCACCTTCTAGAGGCCACCTGCATTCCTCCTTCTTCAAAGCCAGGAACATAGCTTCTCCCTGAGCCTGGTTCTGTTCTCACATCTCTTTCTCTGACTCTGTGCTCCTGCCTCCCTCTTTCGCTTTTAAGGACCCTTAAAAGATAATCCAGCATAATCTCCGTATGTGCTAATTAGCAACTTTAATTCTACCTACAGTCTTAATCCCCCCTTGCCGTGCTGCTGTGTAACATATTCATAGGTTCTGGGGATTAGGATGAAGACATCTTTGGGGGCCATGATTCTGCCTGCAACAGCTGCTTTAAAATCCTTGTCAGATAATTCCAACATCTGTGTTATCTCAGTGTTGCTATCTGTTGATTGTCTTTTCTCATTCAAACAAGATTTTCCTAGTTCTTGGTGTAACAAGTGATTTTTTATTGAATCCTAGACATTTTGGGTCTTATGTAATGACACTCTGGCAAATCTTCTATTTTAGCAGGCCTCCTCTGACACTGAGCCAGTGGGGGCAGAGGGGTGTCACCTGATTATTGCTGGGTGGGGGTGGAAATCCAGGTACCCCATTTGGCCTCCACTGATACCACTGGCTGGAAGGGGCAGGGGTGCCTAATTATTCTTCCTGTGTAGCCTCCACTGACATCACAGAGCAGGTGGGAGGCTCCTTAGCACTGGAGAGAAATATAAGTTCCAGCTCCCCACTTCTCTGACCTATGCTGGTGGAGCTAAGGGTCACCTTGTTACAGTCAGGCAGAGGTGGAAGTCCAGGCTCCCCACTCAGCCTATGACAAAGGGAACCAAGTCCTTGAAGCTGACAGGAGCAGGAATTTCATGAAGCATTGCTCACCATCACCCTCAATTTCCTCATGGTTTCTGTTATAGGAGCAAATCCAGCCACAGATCTGAGAGGAGCAGGCTTTCTTGCCCTCCTGCATCTGCTGTACCTGGTGATGGACTCAAAGACCTTGCTGATGGCCCAGGAGATTTTCCGCCTGTCTCGTCACCATATCCAGGTGGGGCTTTGGTGGGAAGCCAAAGGAGAGGGCTGTGGAACTAGAACCTGGGCGCAGGGCAGTCCTGGGAAGCCAGAAGGGCCTCACGGGTAGATATCTCTAGTTGGTGAGGGCTCTCAGAACAACTGAGGCAAACCCGGAATGGGCTTCCCCTCTCAGCCTGACTTGTGCTGGAATCTGAGCTTCACCACTCATTAGCTTGTGTCTCAAGCAAGTGCCTGACCTCCTCAGAGCCTTGGTTTCCTCATCTGTAGAACAGAAATCATGGAAACTTCAGTTGGATAGTTGGGAAAATTAAATGAGATGTTGTCCAAAAGCACTAGGCACAACTGTGTTGTTAGTATTTCAACTCACTGCCCTCCCTGAGGAAGTCTCTTGCTCAGTATCGGTGGGTTCTCCTGACCCTGAAGGAGGGGGTTAGACTTTATGTGCCCCAGAGGAGAAAGTTTGCCTCCGAGGGTCACGTGACACATGGACTTACTGACAGGCCAGAAGTAGCTTCTGCAGCCCTCGGTCTCTGTCCAGGCCTGCTCTCTTGGGTTGGGTTTGATGGTTTTCCTAGGTAGTAAAAGGTGGTAGTCCTGCCATTGTACAAAACAAATTTGACCTGTTTCCTGCCATTCGTCTATCCCAGATGCATGAGACCTGGAATTCATTCACTAAACAAATATTTACTCAGCATTCCCTGTGCTGGTTATTGTTTTTGGTGCTTGGGATACATCAGTGAGCAAAACAGATAAAGATCCTTCCAGCAGAGAAGATAAGACAATACGCATAATGCACCCATAAGTGGTGGCGCATGTGAAGGGTGGTGAGTGCTAGGAGAAAGAACAATAGGGTAAGGTTAGGAGAATGTGAGGAGTGGTTACAGTACTTTTGGCGTGATCAGGGGAGCTCTCATGAGAGGGCAAGACTTCAGCCCAGCCTTGAAGGAGGTGAGGATGTCATCCAGGCTGGGATCTGAGGCAAGAGCAGCCCACGTAGAGGGAGCAGCTAGAGCAAAGGTCCCGAGGAAGGAGCATGTGACATGTAAGGGAACAGCAGGGACGCCATCAGGAGGAAGGAGCCTGGGAGAGCTGTAGGAAAGGAGATCTTGGGGTCACAGGGACCAGATGGCCTTGGGCTGGTAGGCTCTGATAAGGACTTTTGCTTTTTTTTTTTTTTT